ACCTGCCAAGGGAAGCCCAGCAGCACCTGCCATGGCGTGTTGTGGCAGTGTGGGTGTCTCTAGCAGCTAACTGGTCAGCTCTAGTGGAAAGGGAGGGCAAATTTCTGGGATCAGATGCCAAAATTTGTGCCTTCACTGGCAGACACAAAGGACTGTTTCTTTTATTCTTCCAGGAATAAAAGGCTGGTCATGGTGGTGGCATTTGTGTGCTGATCTCTTTTAGGCTTGCAAGAGGCCTGTGCCCCTCCTTGTTTCCAAGTGTGTGTTCCTCTTGACAGTGGGTTGCAGTTGTCTTCCACCTCTTCAGAAGCACCAAAACCAGCTCCTGGTGTGGCTTGAGGGCTCGAGGAGGTCAGGAGCTCCTGCCCTGTCACTCTTGCAGGAGCCAACAGCTCATGTGTAGGAAGTCCTGCAGGACAGAGGAGAATTAAACCAGCTAAAACACATTTGGGGTGTAAACCTGACCTAAAATAATCAACTATATTAAGTATCTCTGAGATGAGCTCTACCAGAGCTGCTACAAGGGAGAGGGCCTCCTTAGGTTGTTTGTCCTCCCTGCTGCTTGGGAAGTGGTGTGGGACGGGGCCTTCTGACTTGTCCCTTCATCCTGGCTGCCCTGGGGGCTGCTGCCCACCCTGCCCCTGCCCTGCACCTCGTCCCTAGCTGGTACTGTGGGGAGAGGTGGGTGAAGGCAGGTTTTAAAAGGTCTGCTCTTCCAGCAGGCAGCACCTCCTGGGAGCCTCACCTGACGCCTCTGAAGGTCCCACCCCGGGCTGCCCCACGGACGAACTGTTTTTGTTCTGTCCTGTGCGTTTTGCACAGCAAAAGCAGAAGCCGAGTCTGTGTCTCCTCTGCCAAAGGCTCTGTAACCATCTCTTTTGTTCTGTGTCTTTCAATTTGGGCTACTGGGGCAGCGTGGCAGCCTGCCCACCTAGTTAGGGACAGGGCCTGGCCTGGCGGTCCCAGCTGCCCCCCGAGTCCCTCCTGCGGCTGCTGCCGGCTCTAGATGTAGGTTTGACCCTGCTTGTTGGGTTTTGTGGCCTCTGCCTGCCATTGGTTGCAGTGCCATGAGCATCTGGGATGTCTGCTGCTCACGGGATGACTTTGATGTGTGGTGGCAATGGCTGATCACTTGGTTGATGTTTTATAATCACATTGTGTGTATTCTAGATGAAGTTCTCTTCTGGCTGGCAGGGCCTGTTTGTGGGGGAGGGAGGGAAACTGCAGGGAAGAAGGGAAAGGCATCTTAAAACACAGATGTGACTCATTCTTTAGAAATTCAGATTAGAGTTTGCCTAGTTTTAGAAAAAACTTTGAAAGAGCTTTTTTTTTCCCCCCTGAAATATCTTCGTCAGAAATAATAGAAGGGGGAAAAACATTTTAAGACGTTCTGTGATGTTTGATGTAGCCTGCAGAGAACTTCATTGTACTGCACTGGTTTGGTTTTGTTTGTAGCTGCAAGTCATCAGTGACTTTTCCTTGGGTTGTGTGTTGTGCCTTGATCGATGAGTTGCCATCTGTCCACCTAATCCAGAAGTCCAAACTGCCTATCATGCTTGAAATTTCCAGCTAAATCACTAAAACCCCACAGACCAAAAGAACATTCCCTTTTACACAGAAGCAGATTCTGGGAGTTGCTGAGTGTGATTTTTTTTTTTTCCTAGTGCAGTAAACTATGGTGTGTGATGTGTATTTGTCTATGTATTGGGCTAGGATGCTTTTCTGGAAACAATATAGGTATACTTCTTGTCTTCTTAGCTAATGGTGCTTTTTATTCAAAGTGACATTGAAGAGCTGGAATTTTTCCTTGCTGAGCAAAAAACATAGTGCAGGCTGTGGTGGATTTTCCATCTCTGGAGCACGTCGTGGGAGCTGCAATGGAGGAGCAGTGTACGTGAAGGCAGAGCTGACATCTGGAGCTTCTTGGGCACAAGTTGGGGTTGTGTGCTTGCCCTGGCACCCTGCACGTGGCTGTGTCCCCGTCCTGGGATGTGCTGGCTCCAAAGGGCAGTTGGGTGGCAGCAAGGGACATTGGGAGATGACCTGCAGAGCAGCTCAAACAGGATGGTGCTCAGGCTGGATTGCTCCGGGGCTTCAGGCCATCATCCTGGTCACTTTGCAGTCACAGGTTGAATGTCTGTGGGCAGGCAAAGGGCAGGTCCCTTCTCTGCTACTGCTGGTGGGTGTTTTTTAGTGAGTCTGGAGTGTGAGGATTGTGCATTTGGGTTTTTTTGTTGTTAATGTGTTTGTGGGGTGGTTTTAACTTTTTTCAAGCCCTGGAGTATCAGGAAGCCCAGCAGTGGGATGCGTGTTGGGAGATGCAACAAGCAGCCAGATCATCTGTCACCAATTTGGGATGTGAGCTGTTCAAATTGCTGATTGACAGGGGGGCAGAGCAAGAAGTGTGTGTGGGGTCTGCTCATCTTACCTTGGGAGTGCCTCTGCAGAGCCTTTCCCCTGACCCTGGCAGGCCAAGAGAGCAGCATTACACGCCTGTATTATTTAAAAAAAAAAGCAAAATAACCCCCCGGTGACTAAGTGTGAGGAACCTCTGGCCTGGGCCCAGCTCCTCAGCAGAGGTGGCTGCTGCTGATGGCTGATGTGAGTGTGTGACATTAAGAGCTCCTGGTCTGAGCTTGTGTAGAAGCTCTAGCTCTGATCCAGCCGTGAGAGTCTCAGCTGTGATCAGAGCTAAGCCAAAGGTTTTTACTGTGAATTTCTGCAGGCTCATCTCATTCTTAGTCACAGGGTGATGATATTGGGTACACTGAGCTCATGGTTTGCAGAGCTGTGTCCCTCTCCCTGCCCTATGCTGTGGATAGCTTGGGCCTCTGGTAGTGGTCTTGCACTTAATCAGCTGAAGGTTGAGGTGCTGCTCTTCACCATCCCTCATGCTCCCTGATGCTTCTCCTTTGGGAGTGGCCTTGTTATATCTGAGGACCCTGATTTCAGAGGCAGTGTTGCTGTGTCAGGAGGAGAACAGTCATTCTCTCATCATGCAGCAGGGTTGGAACTAGGTCCTTACAACCTAAACCATTCTATGAATCTATGGTCATGCAAATTGCCTCAAGAAAAAACAAAGTGTGTATGTGAGTGGGACAATGAGAAAAAACTCAGTTCAGATGAGCATTTGTTTGCAACAAGCCTTTTTCCTGTCTGAAGAGCAGGTTAAACTATCCACTGGCAGTCATAAAGCAAATGGGAGCAACCCTATAACTGCTGGATAGATTGAGATCAGCTCCAGATGGACCCCAGTATGTTTTAGGTGGTGGCTGAGACCTAGAACAGATGCTCAGGTGAGTTCAGCCAGTGACCCATCCAGCAGAAGTGTCCAGGCCCTGGCTGTGAGTTCCTGTGACACACCAGAGCACTGGGTCTTGCTGCTGGGCAGTGTGGTGGGTCTGCTGGGGTTTCCAGCCTGGAGCTCAAATGGGTGAGTGGGCAAGATACCCTCTTGGCTATAAAGAGCAGTTTAGGCACGTGCAAGCCTGTGTCCTGTGGAAAGCCTGTGGGAGGCTTTTGAAAACAGTCATGTTTGAAAGTATGTGTCACACACAAAGCCCACTAATGTTTGAATTTGTGTAAGGTCTTTGCAGAGTTTTACCTTGAGTTTTTTTTGTTTGCCAAAATGAGATGGGTTTGGGAGCAGAGTGGAATGAGCTCTTTGGAGGATGGCTTTTGGTTTGGGCTGTTGCTGTATGTGGTTCAGCAAGCTGCCAGCCACAGGGACCTCTCCCACAGCTTCCATGTTTTTGTGCCTGTGGCTCTGATCTTTCAGTAGCCACATGCTGTTTGCTGGTGACAGGCTGCAACCCCCTGTTTCTTAAACAAGTCCCAAATCTTCAAGCCAGCAGACAATAGGGCTCTCTGCTGCTGAGGGCTGGGCAGGCAGATACTGTTTGCACTCTGCAGTTGATGTGCAATTGCCAATTTTTGCCTGGCTTGTGGTTTATGTGGATGGACCTAAACCTTCAGGTTTGCACAGTTTCTGCTCTTGTTTGAGGCCTGACTTGTGGGACCTCTGGAAAATTTAGCCCTTTCATTTTTCTGCTTTTTTCTTTCCTCCTCATTAGCAGTTTCTAGCAAATCAGTGGACAATCCTGTATTAATAATCTCCAGAATCTTTCAGTCTATAGACTTGTAATTGACTGTGGTGGTGTAAAATCCCTCTCAGAAACACGGCTACCTCAGGGCAGAGGCTGACCAGCTGGTCAGTGCTTTGGGACCTGCCTGGAAAGGGCAGAGGAAAGGCTGGGGTCTGGGTGGCTGCAGAGCCTGGATGTAAGAGCTGGTGGGCATGGGACCATCACTGCTGGGCCAGGGACTGCTGGCGTGGTCACTGCCCAGGAGTGTCACTCAGGGGAAGAAAAACAGAGTTAGTATCTTGTGTTTTACAACAAACACCCTGTAGCATTGCCCCAAACATTCAGTGTTATGGAAACATAGTCTTTACATGTGTAGGAACTGGTAACAGCTGGCAAGCTGGAGGGCCCTCTGCTGTGCCTGGGAACAGTGGTTGTTCCTGCTGGGATGTTGCCTGTGTGGGATGAGCAGAGTGCTGGGAGGTGTCCTGCAGGGGCTGAAGATCCTCAGGAGCCTCCATCAGGGTTTGGGCAGTGCAGGGGAAGTGCAGGGTATGGGAGGCTCCCAGCACAGGCAGGGGCAGGCAGGAGGGAGGGTGAGCCAGGCAGGCAGGGGCTGCGTCGCAGCCATTCAGGGAGGGTATTTTGGTGGCCCAGCAGCCTGGATAGTTGGAGATAAAAGAGATGGGGACCAGGGTGTGTGTCTGTTCTTGCAGTCCATGCTTCGCCTTGCTTCCACCTCTGAGTCTAGGAGTGTTTTGCTTTTCCTTCCCTCCCCCTCGGAGCAGCACCCCGGACTGGAGGGCAGCACTGCTGGGGCAGCACCGTTTGTGGCTGACGCACGTGACTTTTTTGGGGGGCAGGTGGAGGCTGCAGGGACCCCAGCCCCTCGCTGACTCTCTTGCTTTGCCTCCACAGACTGGCGCCTCACTATGTTTACCCCCAAGCCATCATCCAGCCCAGCGTGGTGATCCCCACCCCCGTGCAGTCCATCACGTCTCCCTACATCGACTACACCGCCGCCAGCCAAGCTTATTCCCAGTACACCACAGCTGCCTACGACCAGTACCCCTACGCTGCCTCCCCTGCTGCCGGGTTCGTGGGGTACGGCTACACGGGGGCCGTGCAGCCCCCCCTGCCCCCCAGCACCCCCGCAGCCCCCGCCTTCGTGCAGTACCAGCCCCAGCAGCTGCAGCCCGACCGCATGCAGTGAGGGCCTCGCTCCTGGGACAGCCTTTTGCAACGGAAGGATACGACTAGGACTACAAAAACCATCAACAACAACAACAACCAATAAAGAACAACCAAAAAAAAAAAAAAGAGGAAAAAAAAATAATAATTACCCCTCCCCTTTGTCCCCTCGATGTAGGTGCATATCAATACCTAAGCTATTTATAGTGTTAAGGGCAAACCCAAACCCTCGCAGTCTGACTGTGCTCTGGAAAATGGACTTCTGGTAAGTTGTTGGGTTGTTTGTTTTTTGTGGGTTTTTTTTTCAATCTGGACAGAGATTGTCTTGAAGATGTTCTAGAAGTGACTGAAATGTTTCCCAGGAAAAGTACAGATTCTTGCACACACAGCAGTCTGCTTCCATCACCTGTGCTCATCCTTTCCTACCCCATCAGCCCTCCCCTCCTCATCAAACCTGCAATCCTCTTAATTACTGTTGAGGTACAGAGGTACTCGGAGAACATGGAAAAAAGCAATCTTATTTTTTGGTTGTACAAAAACTTTGTAATACTCAGAGATGCCTTACAGAAAAAAAAAAAAAGAAAAAGAAACTATTTTTTAATATTTATTGCGATTTTATTCGCATGAGCTGTGAATTGCAGACAGAAGAATAGTAGTAAGTATCTGCCTTGTTTAATTCTCATTTTACTAAATTATTGTATGTAGGTAAAAGTTCTTAAGTAATTGCTGAATCACTTCAACATGCAAAAGGGAATATTGGCTTGAAGGAGAGCAGAATATTCCTTTAGTCAACGCACTGTACTATTTTCTTATTGTAATTGTTACTCTGTTAAGATTATCTCAAATTTAGGTATATTTTTAAATGCAAAAAAACCAACCAAGAATACTGAACATTTTGTCTACTTTGGTAGATCTTTTGTTACAATGCTGCAACCTATGGAGACATTTACAGTATTTATGTAAAAGAGATTTGGGGCTGTTGGCCAGCAAAGCTTAGGAGAGAATCATGAGTGGAGCAGAAGAAGAAGTGTTATGTCACTGAACAAATGGGTAAACGTAACCTTTTTATGCCTATAAATCCAACAGCCAAATAAAGGAAGAGAACAGACGATGTAAGTTAAGTGCATTTCTACAAAGAACAGCAATAAACTATTTTAACTTTTAAAATTATTGAATACTGTATGGTACCATGTTTGCTTGGCTGGAGTCTGCTAGGGTGGACTTTCAAACTGACTTGGGCCTTGGCCTGTGAGCACAGGGTGGGCAGGGAGCAGGGGTCCTGTGGGGCAGCAGGGTCTGACCAGGGCCCTTGTCCCCCTGCCCCAGAGGGCAGGGCTTGTGCACAGCTGCCCTCCCAGTGTGTCCTGTGTGCTGCTGATCCTTCTGTGTGTCCCAAGGCACCTGTAACTCTTGGGACCTCAGGGTTTCTTGGCTCCTGGAGCATTGCTGTCTCCAGTGCTTGTGTCTGGCACACACCCAGGCTGTGGGGAGCAGCGGGTGCAATGCGCTGCCATCCTGGTGCAGCTCCAGTGGAAACTGGGACAGCTGAGAGCTGATCTTGCTCCAGAATCCTCAGGATGTCATTCTTTGCTATTTGCTTGGAATTAAGGTGTTGGGTTTTTTTTTTTTCCCCCTAAACTGAATCCAAAAGTGAGCAGCCTACAGAATCTCTGCTCTGGCAGAGCATGGGCAGGCTGTGGGCAGTGGTGAGGCTCTGGAAGGATGCTGGAACCCCTGGGCCTCTTTTGATTACTCAGCCACATTGGACTTTCCCTCACCAACTTGCTTTAGAAATATGTTTCTCAGATTTTGACCATTGCAAACTGTGAGTATCAGCTATTAAAAATAAATAAAATTATTCTATTGGAATATACTACTTATCTAGTTCATCTCTCTAAAGTTTATGGCAGAACTGGTGCCAGGAAGTCCCTGTATCTTTGCTACCAGTGTGTATTGCTGTGCAGAGAGTGATGATGCCTAAAGCCATCCTGGGGGAAGAAGATGTTGTAGGATGAAAGCAGAAGCAGTTCAGCACTGTGGTTGATCAACTGCCCTGGTGAGTTTAAAGGCACAAAATTGGCATGTCTAACGTCATCAGTAGGCCTCAGAGTAAACAGCCCATCTCAATGAATGGAAACAGCACATTCCTCCCTTGCTCATGTTGCGTGAGAATGCAGGTCCTGGTGGAGCTCTTCGTCCTGCCCAGGGTTTGCTTGCAACCATTGTGGGTGACATTTATTTCCTTTTTAAGTAATTAGTTTCTGGAGATGGCTGTGGGGCTGCCAAAGGAGTAAGAGCTGAGCACCACATCTAGCACAGCACTGGCAGGGAGTGCAGCCTGGCCCCAGAGCCCTGCCTTTGAAGTACTATCGGGGCTGGAGATTATGCAGCAATTCTTCTTTCTCCCTGTCATAAGTCTTTTCTGAGGAGGAGGGAGAGAAGAATTTCAGAGGTGGGTGAGGGTGTCAGGAGCTATGTTGCCATGCCTGTCCTCAGGCAGCATTCCCACCTGGCTCCAGCACTGCTAAACCTTGGCTTCTTCACTTGTCTCCCAGGTCTGTAGAAGATTGAGGTCTACAGACATAAAAAATGTCTGGTGCATTTAAAAGTGAAAAGTGATGATTGTTCCATGAAGCTGGCTCTAGTTTCCTGAAAGGTGGAAAAAGCTGCCAGGAAATGAGGGCACAGTCAGTGCTCAGTGTTATGCCTCTTTTGCCCAGCTTCCAGCCCCCTGCTGTTCCTGGATCCTGCTCAGTTCTTCTCCAGGCTCATGTTGAGAAACAACCACCTCAAAACAACAGCTCAGCCTGTCACCTTCCTATTTGCAAAAACCAATTGTGAAATTGTGGCTGGGCAGGGTCATAATGAAATCTGCTGTCCAGCTTCCTGGTTGGAAGTGGAGTCATGATGGCAAGCGGTGAGGGAAGCCTGCCCCCCCCCCCAAAAAAAAAGGACCCCAAGAGCTTCCTTGGCCTGGTTAGACTGGGAAAATGAGAAGAGCTCAATGGGTCACTGTGTTAGAGAAACAAGAGTTAAATGTAGTGAGGGAGTGGAGGAGTATGGCTGAGAGGTGGTGACTGCAGGGTTCTTGACTGGTCAGGGAAGTACAGAGCAAGTGAATAAATCACCTTGAAATTGTTTTAAAGCAAATTGAATATATTTATTTATCTATCAATTTATTATTTTTATTCCTGGCTGGAGCATCCTCTTTCACCTGCACCCTGATGTTGTCCCAGCAGAAGTGAGCTGGCCCTGGGCAGCTCAGCTCTTCCCCAGGCAGACTGGAGCCTGGGATGGGCACGTGCTGGGGAGCTGTGGTGCTGCTGTAAGACCTTTAGTGTGGGAAGGTGCAGCCACAGGGAGGAGTGGCAAGAGCTGGATGGCTTTCACAGGGCAGCCCTGGCAGTGCCATCTGTGTGGCACAAGTTCTGAGGAGTGGGAGCAACCATGGGGTCTGGACTGTGTCCTGGGCATGTCCCTGTGGCCCTGCTGGTGGCTGACCCAGTCAATGCCACCTCCCTGCAGCTGTGCCCACATTCCCAGTCATTTGCATGACAAATTAAATTTTTTTTTTCATAGGAAACCATCACACTGAGGCTGTGGGGATGAGCTTTGTGTTGTGTGAGCTGGAGCACGGGTAGCTCCTCTGCTGGCACAAGGAAGCAATCATCAGTCCCAGTGCTGGGTTCCGGGCATCTCAGGGAGGAGATGGCAGGGGTGAGATTTCTGCCCTTTCCAGGCACTGCCTCACCCTGGGGTGTCCCTGGTCAGGGAGGCATGGCCAAGGGCTGTGCTGCCAGCAGCCACCCAAAGCTGCTCCAGATAAGGGGCAGGGGGGCACTGAGGCCCTGTCTCTGCAGCACTCACTGCTGTCCCATGTTATCTGGCTGAGACACTTGGGGAGCCCTGCGGGTGCCCAGCAAAGTCCAGGGCTTTGCAGTGGCCCCCCCAGCCAGCAGCTGTCCCCAGGAGAGAGGGCTGGGGGCACTGCCAGCCCTGGCAGCCCAGCTCCTGCAGCCAGCGAGCCCCCAGCACTTTATGGCTGAGAAGGAAAGGCTGAGTGCAGGATGTTTTTGCATAGTAACTGGGCTGCTGTTGGCACTTGCCCTTTAAAATAAAGTTCACAGCAAAATGTTTTTACTCCCATCACATACAGGGAATGCTAACAGCATCTTTTTTTTTTCCCCCCTCTCTTCTGGCTGAAATTAGTTTTTCCCTCCTTTGTGCCTCGCTGAATCCTGCCAGCGAAGAGATTCCCTTGTTCAGAGGGAAAAAAAAAAAGGGGGGGTAAAAAAAAAAAAAAAAGGAAAAAAAGAAAAGAAAAACTTAAGCCTGGGATTAAAAACCATCACTAAAATAGTTTGAATAACAAAGTCAACTGACTCGCTGGGAGCCCAGTCAATGCCTGTCACGTATCGCCCTTCGGCCGGGGACGTGATCATGTGTTTCACTAGATAGTTCCTGGAAAAGCTTCTGCTCAGCCTGATAGACCTGCTGCTGATAGGGCTGTGCCCACTATCCCAGAGGGCTGCAGAAAACTTCCTGAACTTACGGTGGGGGATGTGGTAATAAATAAATCTCCCCTGGGTACCAGAGTCATCACATCTTCTTGTGGCCTGAATAGCAACCGGCTGTAACTGGTGCTCGGGCTCCTCTGGCCCCAGTGGTCCCAGCACTGGCAGCCTGGCCCAGCTGCTCTCGTTCTTCCCCCCCCCTGCCCTTATTGATGCTTTTAGCAATGGTATTTGATTGGTTTTGTGATTTTTTTTCTCTCCAGTACTTTTTTTGCACAATTTTAGCTACATAGACAATCAAAAAGGGGACTTTGCAAAAGATAAAAGCAGAGGGGTTATAAATCCCCATGGCAGAGCCACCTGGCAGGGCACCACACAACCAGGAGCGTGTTATTGGAGGGTTATGTACTTAAAACCAAAGCCAAACAACTGCAGGTTTGTCATTTTGCTGATAGCAGCAGAAACCTGGAATCACAGTGGTGTGATGAGGCACAGTGAGAGGAACGATGGCTCAGATAAGGCCACGCTGTGTGGGAGGGCAGTTAAAGGCTCAGATTTATTCACTGTGTGTCTGTGCTTGGAAGCCTGATAGTGATGCTGGAGAGGCTGGAGATGGAAAGATCAGAG